TTCAGCAGCTCCAAATGCAGCTCATTCGAGCAAAAATAGTGCAGCAAATGTGGACCCCTTGACGTATGAACACACTCCTATTAAAGGCTTTTGAAGTCTCACCAAAATCTACAATGAGATGGAGCATGTGGAAGAGAAATCCGATGAATTGATGTTTGTAGGTGATGAACCTACAATATTTACATGGGCTGCTGGTGTTCCTTCGTGGCAGGAAGCAATGAAAGGGGGATTGTGTTCAATTGAAAAGAATCGTACTTGGAGGTTTACAACTCTTCCACCTGGGCACAAACCGATCAGACTAAAACGGGTGTTTAAAGTCAAAGATTGTGATAAAAATGTTGTCAAACACAAAGCTCGATTGGTTGCAAAAGGATACGCTCAACAGAAAGAGAACGATTTTGATGAAGTTTTTTGCATCGGTGGCTCGATTGGAAACTATAAGGCTGCTATTGGCTATAGCTGCGATGAAATGATGGTTGGTCCATCACTTTTATGTGAAGTCAACATTCTTAAATAGAGAATTGCAAGAAGAAGTATACGTGTCTCAACCCGATGGTTTTGTTGCTAAAGGGAAGGAGCATATGGTATACCATCTATACAAGGCCCTCTACGGCTTACGTCAAGCGCCCCAAGCATGGAACATACATCTTGACAAGGTACTCAAAGATTTGGGCTTTACAAGGTGTTCACAAGAGCAAACGGTGTATAAGCTTCATTGTTCCAATACAATTTTGATAGTTGGCGTATATGTGGATGATTCAATTGTCATCGGATCAAATGTAGACCAAGTAATTTGGTTCAAAGGAAACATGCAGCAGGTGTTCGAGATGAGTGACTTGAGGCCGTTGACATACTACTTGGGAATAGAAGTGCGGCAAAGTGAAAAAGGCATCGAGATAAGTCAAGCCAGGTATGCAAAACGGATTCTACAAGCAGCTGGAATGTGGGACTGTAATCAAACAAAGTGGCCAACGGATGCAAAGTTTAGCCTATCGAAGGATGAGGAAGGCACACCTATGAATGCAACAAATTATCGCCAACTCATTGGTCATCTTCGATACTTAACTCATACAAGACCAGACCTTTCTTACTCTGTTGGGGTCGCTAGTCGATATATGAGCAGTCCAAAAGAAAGCCATCTGAAGGTAGTGAAACAAATAATTCGATACTTGAAAGGTACGCTGCATTATGGTTTGGCATACACAAGAAGAGGCGATGGAAAGTTAGTAGCTACAGTGACAACAGCTTTGGAATGGATTTGGATGATCGAAAGGGCACCACCAAGACAGTGTTTTACTTCTCGAATAATCCAATTACATGGTTATCTCAGAAGCAAACAACTGTGGCACTATCTTCTTATGAAGCAGAGTTCATGGCAGCAACAACGGCTGCTTGTCAAGCTGTATGGTTAAGGAATTTTTTGAAGGACTTAACCGGATGGGAAAGCTCAAGAGTGAGGTTGTTTGTTGATAATAAATCAACAATAGCTCTAATGAAAAATCCGGTGTTTCATGGTCGCAGCAAACACATAGATACGAGGTATCATTTTATACGTGACTGTGTTGAAAAAGAGATCATTAACATGGAACATGTTAGTGGAGAAGAGCAACGAGCTGACATATTGATCAAAGCATTACCACGAGTCAAGTATATCAAGATGAAAAGTTTATTGGGGTTGAAGAATCTTGACGAAAAAAATCAGGGGGAAAAATGATGAAATAATTCTGATTTTTGGATATTATTAGTGTGGTCAAAAGAAATTCAATTTTGTGATTGATGGTGGGAGTAATTGAGACATAATTTGTACATTTGAATATTTAACCGTTTCTAGTAGTTTCTGGATTATGCATTTAGTTTTCATTTGCTTTTATCTATTGTAATTTTCCATTCGTAAAATAAGAGAGTGAATTCCAGAAAACACAAAAACAAAACGTGTTGTTCTGTCCTATTCTTCTTTCTAGAATTTGTCTCGATTTTTCTTGTATGATTCTTAATTCCAATCTAGTAGATTACCAACAAATACACATATAAATTTTTATGACGCAAGTAAATCATACAAAACTGATTAAAGCATTTAATACTCATCCAATTGTCAAAAATTTGCATAAGAGAAATTATCAGTATGTTGAAATATTTAACCTCTCCATTGTTGACATTGAGAATATGTTGTTTGAGTCTTTTGAAATTGGTTGAACCTGCAAGCACAATGTGTCAAGAGTGTTTAAAGTTCAATCAAATTCGTATACTTAAATCACAATTTCAAAAAAGCAAAGACATAATAAAAATCTTTGGAAGATTGGATCTTATGTTTTACATTCAATAATATTACCTAAGGGGTCAAGCCTAAGTTTCTTAGCATGCTGGAAGGTCGACCCAACCACAGTTGTTGGGTTGGAGTACGCAGCCGGCGCCATTTCCTCGGAATCCTTTATGAAGATAAAGTTTTATTTCTTTATGCGTGCCATAGTTCAATCTTCAAACTTAAACCTTCCAAGACTGAAAAGTTATTGTCATTACAATATGAACTGAAAATAGATTCTAACAATGAAAACCACAAGAAATTCGAATAAAAAAAAATATAATGTAAGATAGTAATGTAAGTATTATTAAAAATCGAAACCACTTAAAGTTAACAAAGTGTATAGTGGCTCAGCTCCTAGTGCACCCACATACAAACGATTCAAATAATAGATGACAAGAACTAACAACCAAAGATGCGACCAAACAACTCACTAGATTTATTTGACTTCCATCGCCAGAAAAAAAAAAAAAAAAAATAAATTTCTGCGTAAATAAAACAAAATTATCAACAAAGAAATTTTACAAAAATTGCATTTCATGATTAAAACCTACAACTACACATAAAATTAGTAGTACATGTTAACTCGTATATATCACAATATATAGCCTTTGTGAATGTCTCAAATTTAGTAGAAGATAATATCTTTGTTCCATTATTATGAGGATTAAATTGGGAAGGAAGTTTCTTTAAAGTTATTAAATCCTTAGCCACTATATCTTTAATGAAGTGAAAATGTACATCAATCTGTTTAATTCTGTTATGAAATACGAGATTCGTACTCAATCGGTACCAGATCTAGTATCCAAATGGTGCATTTACTTCACGAGATTAGCACATATTATATTATTTAATTCGATCTAATCTCATTTTTACTTTAATGTATTAAAGTCTTGTATAATTAAAGGTCCGTTACAATAATACTAAATTATAGGATTATTAATATAATATAACTTCCTAGTATTATTTAATTCTACTTACTAAATTATCTAAATTATCCTTCACTCTAAACATTTAATTTTTTTTTATATAAATATAATAACAAACTTTTTGTTTAATATATTTTGATTTCATTTGAAATGTAAGTTATGTATTTTTTTTTAAATTTCTAATCAATAATATAAAGTGATAAAAATGTTATAAAATATGTTACTAAAACTTAAATAAATAAATAATCAGAATATATCAAATTTTAAATATACATATTATGTCATGATAATAACTCAATTAAATTTTAACATTGTTATATATTATATTGTTACAATTAGAAGGAAAAAAAAATATCAAAATAAATTATGATATATGTATGGAAATGAAAATAAGTATGATGCATGTTCGAATAGTAACTCTGAAAATCTCATCAAAATTAAAAGTATCTATTTGATTGGTGAGTATCCAGGTCGAACTCAAGGAATATGCCGATATGCTAAGTTCAATTAGAAAATGCGGAAGGAGTTAATGCTATCGAATGGCTGAAAAATAACCTAGTTACTAAAACTGAATTTAATCTAACTAAAAAATATGTATATGTATGTATAACAAGATTGGTTTTGAGTAGAGCCGGTAAAAATAGGCACGGCCCAAAAATCCGATTCGACTATGGCACAAAAAAGTTGTGCTTGGGCCTAAATCAATAAGCCCAAAAATTTTCGGAATGTGCCTGGTAGGGCACACAAATGAACCGCTCCAAACCCAGACCCATGAAAGTCGAATTGTGACTTGGCAAGCCGGATTTATTAAAATTAATATTTAAATTTTAATATCTATATATATAATAACTAATGATATTGTGACAAAAATTAAGATATGGTTTAAGGGTAAAGTTTTTGATTTGTTTTGGTTTTGGGCTTGTGGGTTAAATTCCCAAATACATTGTATGAGTAAAAATTTCATTAATTTAATTTAAAATAAAAAAAATGTAAACACGTTTCACAACAGCCGAATTGCAACCCGTAGTTTTGAGAGGGGTTGGTGGGTTTGTTTAGTAGAAAAATAATTATTTAAAGTCTTATAATACCAACAAATTAATTATAAGTGCTATCTAGTTAATTATATTAATATTTTTATTATTATTTCTGCTAAATATTTCTAAATGATAATAATAATAAATTAAACTTTCATGATTTGTTCAAATAATTTAAAAATACATTCTTTAATCTTATACAATATTTCTCATACTAACTTACAAGCTGTTTCAAATATTTGGTGCCGTTCCGAGGATTTTAGTCTTAAATTAGATTTGTATATATTTAGTTTGAGTTCAATGAGCATAACAATGTTATTTTAGCTCTAAATAATTTGAAGGAAAGGCAAGCATATCCAAAATAAAATGTTCAAAACAGAACCTCTCTATCTCATATTTACCACATCTTTATTAGAAGTAAACATGTTATAATTTTCAAAAAAGTAAAAAGAACATGAACGGCATGGTGTTTCGTTAAGCCGATGATGTCATATCATATCCCAGTATTTATGAACTGGCCGGAAAATGACCACATCCAACTTCTTGAGTAAGAAGAATATATCATTTTTGTTAAAAGCTATTTTCATAATAAAATATATATAGACCATCGTAGAGGGTCTTTCTTAAAAATAAAAAAACACCAATAGAAATAGTTCACCCTTTCAATAATACAACTAGAATTCATCTATAGTAGAGAAACCAAACATATAACATAGATAAAAAGGAAATAGTTAACAATCTCAGCAATACACGTCGAATTTATCTATACAAAAAAAAATATCATGTTGAATCACGCTTACAAAATCATGATCACCATAAAGCTTATCTCTAGTTGAAAACTAACATTCTAGAACATGGGCATGATATACAACAAACAACAATGAACATTTCGAAGGGTGTGTTTGTTTGAGGGTTTGGATTTTGAGTTGGGATTTGAATAGTAAAAATTTTGAATTTGAATAGTTGTATGATGTGATATAAATAGGTGTTGATGTGATGTTTTGAATGTAAAATTGATTTTTAGTATAATATAAAAAATAAAAAATAGGTGTTTGATTTGATGTTTTTGGGGGGAAAAATTGGATGAATAGTAGAAATCCAAACAAATCCCTCAAACAAACACACCCGAAACTATAACGTACTCTCAGTATACAACAATTTGTCAGACTGCCCAAAATTTCCCTCCAGCAATGCTTTACATGTGGTTTGATCTATTTATGTTATCCTCATCCCGGATGAAAAACGAAGTTGGATCTACAATTGTAGGAAATAGAATGTTTAATATGATAAACTTCTAGGATGAGCAGGCTACATGTATTTATTTGAGTGCAGGATTTAAAAATTACAAACAAGAGAGAAAACAATTACACATGAGAAATAAGAAAGAGACACAACATGATTTTATATAACTAGTGTTGAATTGATATTTTAAATGTAAAATTAATTTTTAATATAATATAAAAAAAATATATTTTGAGTTTACTTTTTTAGGGAAAAAAATAGTAAATAGTAGATATCAATTAAAATCTTCCAAGCAAACACAAACTTAATTTTATCACAAATTTCCTTATAAAAATCCAAGACCGTCTTTCAATAAAGCTAACCGTAAAGGAGTCGCCGCAATCACGGGAACTTTTACTCTACCATTGATTATATTTCCATCAGGACAAAAAGAGGTTGCATTCATTGTTCCCATCCTTCCACTTAGAGTTCCATCTTTAAATGGAACAAATGTACCTTCTATAATTTCATGCAAACCCTACGAAAAAAAAAAATATTATAAACAAACCATTAATTAGAGAAATAAATAAAAATCTGATAAAAACACAAGTAAACAAGCTAAAAGGTAACCTTCAATCAAACATGAATGAATAATCAATATACATGTCCCTAAATTAAAAAAACCTCGTATATTGTGTATTCTCCATGCGCAAAATGACAGATTGTGGCGAGTGACATGGTCCCACTGATTGCTTTCACAAAAATAACCCCAGGTTCCGTTGTAGAAGCATTCATTACTTTTCTAAATATATCCTGAAAAATATACCAATAAGTTCAATACATAACAAGTTGGAACTCATAATAGAGCTCTCATCGAGGTAAAGAAAGTATAGTTTAACGGCTATGGAAAGACAACTATATGAAGGAGATTCATCATCTTCAATTTAAATATTCAATGTAGTTCATTAATATATATAGTATAGACAAAATTACGAGGATTGCCATTAATGATAAGTGCAATGATCTACACTTTGGCGACGCTAGGCATATCATTATAGGACACACATGTAAATGTTTATGATGCAAGTAAGTAAAAAAAAAAACAGATTAAAACACTTAATACACATGCAATTGTCAAGAGTTTGCATAAGAGAAATGATCAGTATGTTGAAATATTTACCTCCCCTTTGTTGAGGGTGAGGATATGCTCTTTGATAGATCCTGCAAGCAAAATTTGTCAAGAGTGTTTAAGGTTCCATTAAATTCATATACTTAGATAACAATTTTAGAAATGCAAAGCCAAAATAAAAATCCCTGAAAGATTAGATCTTAAGCTTTACATTCAATAATCTAACCTGAGGGTATGGGCCTGAGGTTCCTGGCTGGCGCCACAGTTCTCTCTCTGGGAGTTGTCTTTGTGCGCGCCATCGTCAACAAAATTAAACCTTCAATTTCGAAATAAAAAAATTTACAATACCCAAAATGGACAATCAAATCATCAAACGAGAAAGAAAACTCAGAAGATCACCAAATTAGACAGAATAAACTCTAGAAAAATGGAGCATTTCCACTTTTCTTACCTCCGATTAAATACCTAGAAGCGCAGGGAAGAAAGAAGACGCCGGCACTTTACAATTAGGGTTTCGATGATTTTAAGACATTGGGATTCTAATATATATATATAATTCAGCGTTGAGAAATTTTTATTTATTTTTGAAAATAAAATATATCTGCCCACAAAACTATATATATATATATATTACAATAATAATAAGTTCGTTGGGATGTGTTTAGGTGTGTTTGTTGATGGGCTTTGAGGTGAGTTTTTTTTAGGCTTGTTCAATGTAAAAATTATTATATAAGACCTTATAATATCAATAAAATAATTATAAGTACTATGTAATTATAAAAAAATAAAATACAAGTCTACTAATATCTTAGATTTGACTGTCTTTTTTTTGTTGTCGTTCTCATTCTGTCATCCTAAAACTCTTCAAGTTTTTTTTTGAGCTACAATCTCTTGCAATTGTCGAATTGAGTTTTTGGAGCTCTTTTGTGTGCTTGAGAGAATGTCTATGACAAGTAGGGTGGGGTATTGAAAAAAAAAAAAACAGATGAAAGAAGCTTTGTAAAAAGACGGACAATGATATAGAGGACGAAACTATTGTAGAAATACAAAACCTTCTTCAAGGTAAAAAAATTATAGTTGAATGTCTATGGAAAGACAAATATATTCAATGTAGTTGATTTTTATAAACATACTATATTACGAGCATAGCGATTAATGATAACTTCAATGATCGACACCTTGACGACGCCTGACATATCATTAGATGATACGCGTATAAATTTTTATGATGCAAGTAAGTCATACAAAACTGATTAAAGCATTTAATACTCATGCAATTGTCAAGAATTTGCATAAGAGAAATTATCAGTATGTTTGAAATATTTAACCTCTCCATCGTTGACATTGAGAATATGCTATGTGAGTCTTTTGAAATTGGTTGAACCTGCAAGCACAATGTGTCAAGAGTATTTAAGGTTCAATCAAATTCGTATACTTAGATCACAATTTAAAAAATGCAAAGACATAATAAAAATATTTGGAAGATTGGATCTTATGGTTTACATTCAATAATATTACCTAAAGGGTCGAGCCTAAGTTTCCTAGCATGCTGGAAGGTCGACCCAACCACAGTTGTTGGGTTGGAGTATACAGCCGGTGCCATTGCCTCGGAATCCTTTCTGAAGATAAGGTTTTATTTTTTTATGCGTGCCATAGTTCAATCTGCAAATTTAAACCTTCAAAGACTGAAAAGTTACTTTAATTACAATATGAACTGAAAATAGATTTTAGCAATGAAAACCACAAGAAATTGAATAAAAAAATGTCATGTAAGATAGTAAAGTAAGTTTTATTAAATATCAAAACCACTTAGAGTTAACAAAGTGTATAGTCGCTCAGCCCGAAGTGCACCCACATATAAACGAGTCAAATAATAGATGACTAGAACCAACAACCAAAGATGCGACCAAACAACCCACTAGCTCCTATCCTTTCGTAACTATCGATCTACTTTTAAAGACAAACCCTAGATTTGTTTGACTTAGCGTTGACAAGAGCACCCCATTCACAAAATCAATCAAACAACGGGATGCAGGAGACATAATCAGTCTCTGCGTCACCAAAAATAAGATCACCGGTTCTGAAACTTCACAAAATACACAGCTAGGAACTAAGAGGATTACCTTCGAGAGAAGGACTAGAGAGAAAGAAAAATGAGAGAATAACCCTTGAGAGAGAATGAAAGATGATATATAAGATATGAATTAGTAATGGCTGCGCATATACAACATATATATATATATATTAGGTCAGAATCAATAGGTTACAAAAAACCCTCCATTGGACGGATGTGGATTAATCTCGGAAGTGGATATGTGGGCCTTAGAAAATTGGCTTGGTTCTTACTTGGCTTTTCGATCAATTTGGGCCTCAAATATCACAATTGGAAATTAACAATCCTCCACCTAGTTTTTGGTCATAAAATTTCATTGGGTGTTTAGGGTCTTCATCGCAAAAAATAAAATAAAATTCCTGCGTAAATAAAACAAAAATGTCAACAAAGAAGTTTTTAAAAAAGTGTGTTTCATGATTAAAACCTACAACTACAGATAAAAATTAGTAGTACGTGTTACTCATATGTATCACAATATATAGCCTTCGTGAATGACTCGAATTTAGTAGAAGATAATACCTTTGTTCCAATATTATGAGGATTAACCAACACCCAAAGAACTCGCTAGCCCATATCCTCTCGCAAACTATTAATCTACTTTGAAGATAAACCAGATTTATTTGACTTATTGTGGAAAAGAGCACACATTCACAAAATCAGTCCAACAAAGTGATGTCGGAGAGATGATCCTTCTCCTCGTCACCAGAAACAAGATCACCAGTTCTCAAATTTCATAAAATATGGAAGCCAAGAACTGAGAGGACTTACGTTAGAGAGAGAATTAGGGGGAAGAGGATGGGAGAATAACCTTGGGAGAGAATGAGATATGATAGAGAAGATTTGAATGAGTACTGGCTGCCCTTATACAACATATATATATATATATATTAGATCGGATCAACAGGTCACAATAAAACCCTCCATCGGACGGATGTAAATCAATCTCGGAAGTAGATCAGCCAAATGAGTTTGGCCTTGGAAAATTGTCTCGGTTCTTACACTTGGCTTTGGATCAATTTGGGCCTCAAATATCATGTGTCAAAATTAACAATCCTCCACTTAGTTTTTGGTTTTATAAGTTCATTGGATATTAAAATACAACAAAATAGTCAATAAAGAATTTTAAAAAACTGCAATACATGATTAAACATACAACTACACATAAACCCATAGTACATGTTGATCATATGTATCACAGTATATAGTCTTTATACATTGCTCAAATTTGGTAGAAGATAACACTTTTGTTCCAATATTTTTAGGATTAAATTGGGAAGGAATTTTCTCTAATTTTATTTAATTCTTTAGCCACTATATCTTTAATGAAATGAAACTGTACATTAATGTGCTTAGTTTGGTCATGAAATACAAGATTCTTACAAAATTAAATACCATATATATCTACTATCCAAAAAATAGTAATGAAATTATGCAAATAACTGTTTTGGAGATTAAGCCTTTGATCGAAAGATTTTGGGAGATTTTATAAATACATCTAAGAGAAAATATAAAAAATGATATATGTATAAAAATTAAAATAAGTATTGTGCGTGTTCGTACAGTAACTTTGAAAATCTCATCGAAATTAAAAGAAAAAATAGTTTGACTAGTGTGTGGCCAGGTCGAACTCAAGGATCATGTGGATATGTTATGTTCAAGTAGAAAAAAATACAATGGGTTAATCCAAGCGAATGACTAAAAAATAAACTAGCTATTAAATTAGAATTTAATGTAACTAAAAAAATAATAAAAAAAATATATGTATAACTTTATACAAATTGGATTAAACAATGGATAGAAGTGATAGTGAAGTGTAAGCGAGTATATTAAAGATGGAAATGAGAGAGCGAGTTGTTTATGTCAGAGTTCTGTTGCCATGAGTGATGGCTATACTATTCTAGAGGAAATGTGTGAGGTGGTGTTGCTGTGTTGGCGGAAATTTATGTATAATTGGTAGTGGTTCAAAGGAATGAATGTTGTCAAACGTGATCAACATCTAGGGGATTTTGAATTCAGTATAAAAGAGTACAATTTATTGAAATTCATCTTCATTAATCTTTCTATAAAAAGATTTCAAATCAAATTTGAATTTAACTAAATATATCATTTTCTAGACAACAAAATATCTACTAATGATAAAACCACGTGGAGAATTCTTTGACAAGATTTGTATTAAATGTGAGAAAATCATTGAAAATAAAATAAGTTTAACATAAAATATAACCGTACTAAACATCACCATCAAATACAAAATTAACTTAAAGTTTAAAAAAAACATATTTATTAATATTAAGAAACACTATTAAGTTCTCAAATCAGCAAAATAAGATAAAATCAACAAAATAAATTTCGATGAAAAGAGAAATAAACTATTGGAACCTAATATTCAGAGGCTCCAGGACTGTTCATCAATTCCATCGTTGTGGGTTCCGAAAGTACTTCAAAGAGCCTGTTCGTCGTTGGATTGGGGGCGGCTCCTTCGGTGGAGCCTGCACTACTTCGAGCTAAAACGACCGTTTCAATTGATTTAAACTAAAATATACTAAAACCAGGATAAATCTACTGGAAAGCGGATAAAAATAGGCTGGAAACATAAATTAGCAAAAAATTAAGATAATCTCCTAAAACCTAGGGATAAACTAATAAAATGATAAAGACTTGTATAGGGTATGCATGTTCTTGTCGTGTGTGTGTTGTGTGTTTTACTATATTTATCTTAATATCAAATAACTATCTCTTCTACTAAAAAAGTAGTTTCACTTATTCCTTCCACTACCTCCAATCGCTTGGTAACCTCCCAAAATCGGCTTTCAACCTGAATTTTCTTTGAATCGCCTCCATTACATCTGAACTGCCTCCCTACTCATTCTGAACCACCTCCACTGCCCTTGAATCGATTCCCACTCATTCTAAACCAATGGAGGTGGTTATCCCATTATCTGTGAAAGTTGTTGTTTTCTGTCTTGTGGATTATCTTCCTCTGCGTTATGGATGCATTGTAGTCCAATGGAGGCAGTTGTTTTTAACCCAATGGAGGCATCAATTTTTGACTTTATGGAAGCATTGTTCCGGGATGGAGGCGCCATAGTCCAAGGAGTTGCTACCTCAAGGTTAATGGAGGTTGCTGCCCCAAGGTTTGTGGAGGCTGCTGCTTTTGGCCTTGTGGAGGCAACAATCATTTGTTTTGTGGAGGCATCAAAGTCCAATGGGGGTTGTTGCTTTCGGCTCTGTGGAGGCAACAATCTTTGGCTCCGTGGCATGAAGCTCCATTGTTATTGGACGGCTCCGTGGCCTGGGAGCTCCGGCTCCAGTTTTTTCTTGAGCGTCCTTCATATTCGCGTGTTTTGGGACCCATGTCCAACAATGCCCTCCTAAAAAGGGTTGGGCGATTGCTTCCGTTGAGCCCATGTCTTTTTGCTCCGAGCCTTTTGCTTGCATCAACTATGATAACTTCTGTTGACAAGGGATCCTTCTCGGCCTTCACTTCTTGGACTTTATTTCCATCTCAAAACATCAACTTTTGATGGAGTGTCGAAGGCACACAGTCGCATGCATGAATCTAATTTCATCCTAAGAGAGCCAAATAAAATGGCCTATTATCGATCATCATGAAAGTTGACGATATTTCTTTTGTCCCCAGTTGCACATCAAAAGTGATCATACCTGCCGATTTGTAAGAATTTCCCATAAAATTGGTAAGCCGTACAAATGTAGAAATCAAATTGTCACTAGTCTTTCCGAACTTCCGTAGGGTCTCAATTGGCAACACATTCACAAAAGCTCCACTGTCCACCAGAACTTGGTTAAGCGGATGGCCATTCATCGAGGTCTGAATGCGCAAAGGCTTGGCATGTTGGTTTTGGCCAGGCTCGAGCCTCTTAAATTCTATCATGGTGGCCACATCATTCCATTCGAAGATAGGATCTTCGTCAACGACAACTTCCTCTAACTATTGAAATTCTTCCGAAGCTTTGAATTCTTGTAGAGGCTCCTCCACTTGCTTCCTTTTGGAAAAAACTCATCCATCTACTTTCCTCTTTGAAAGGGCTCATTCGTTTGCTTTTTTGTTAGAAAAAGCTCCCCCATTTGCTCTCTTTTTGGAAGTGGCTCCACAGCCTACTTCCTTAGCGGCTCCACAACTTGTTTACATTCTGGAAGTGGCTCCACAGCCTACTTTTTTCCTGAAAGCTACTCCGCAGCCTATTTCCTTAGCGGCTCCATAGTCTGCTTTCTTTTTGGAAGTGGCTCCACAACGTGCTTTCTTTTTAAATTCAGCTCCACAACCTGCTTCCTTTCTCAAAGCGGCTCCACAGCGTGTTTCCTTAGCAGTTCCACAACCTGCTTTCTTTCTTGAAGTGGCTCCACAGCCTACTTTCTCTCTGAAAGCAGCTCCATAGCCTGCTTATTTTTTGGAGGTGATTCTGCCATCTGTTTTTCTTTTGGAAACGGCTTATGTGAGCTTTCCTCCTCTATGCGAGCCTGCAATTTCTTATTTGAGCTAGCCTATTTCGAGTCCTGTTGAGTTCTCTTATTGCCCCCTTGGTGGAAGGCTCTGGCTTATTCATAATCCATTTTTCATTCTCTTTCACGATAGGAGGCTTCCATATCGCCTTAGGAATGATGGTGATCTGGTTGGCCTTGGTAACAGTCCAAACTCGTTTCCCTTTCGCATCCTTAACTTCTGCTACAATGGCCACCGGCTTGGGTCATTTGTATACTTTCCTGTTCTTCAATCTTGAGGCTTTCGGATTTGGGATGATGACACCAACATTAGGTTCCCTCTTGACCATCCTTTGTCTTACATTCTCCATGTTCAAACTTGTGACTTTATCAAATGTCACTCTTTTGAAGTCGATTTGTTAGTGGGTGCCTTCAGTCCTAGACAGTCTTGAACTGAATGTTTTGACGGATGAGCGCTAAGCCCATCTTTCATAGGCCCTTTAACCGACATGGTATTTGGATAAGGAATAAACCTTTTGCTCAGCTTTAATGCCGGACACAAATAATCTTTCCATTTGCTAATTTTGTTGCCAAAGCTTCTGTCTCCGCAAAGTCCTTTTCGTCTGAAGTCTCTAGGGCTTCTACCCTTGTAGGCTTCTTTTCGTATGGAGCCTTCATAGCCTCTGGAGTCTCTGCCCCTACAGCCTCCTAATCTTATGGAGCCTCTATGGTCTTTGGAGCTTGTGCCCCTGCAGACTCCTTTTCATATGGAGCCTCTACCTTTGCAACCTCTTTTTTGTTTGGAGTCTCCATGGTCTTTGGAGTCTCTGCCTCCGCAAACTCTGGAGCTTCCATGGCTTCTAGAGCCTCTGTCTCCGCAAACTCCTTTTCGACTGGAGCCTCTACAGCCTTTGGAGTCTCTGCCCCTGCAGCTTTTTTTTTTTTTTGTATGGAGGTGAATTTTTCGCGCTCAAAGTGGCACTAGGCTTCTTTTCAAATCTTCTTTTCGAAAATGCCCTCCGTATGCAATCTGCAATGACATCAACGTCCATCAGAGGCTTGGCCTCTTGTTGATTTGGTGTCAGCGGCTGCAATCCAGATGTCTGCTGATGGAAGGTTGACGGCTGCATCTCTGTGGCCTGCCCTCATTGCTCCTGTGTTTCAACGGTCCTCTTCCATTGGAGATTAGCCACATACGGACCGTGACATCCCCATGACGGTGTTGGCACATTCCACATACGTTGTCCGCTGAATCGCGTTGGCGGGATCATGCCAAATGCTGGAAATTTGCCTGCTCCTCATGGAGGCTCAGCACTACTCTCCAAAACTCCAACGGCCAAGGGGTTCCAGCCCTCCGCAGCCTGTTGGCTCCAGCGCTCCGCAAGCTGTTGGTTGCAGCCCTTCGCAGGCTGTTGGCTCCAGCCTCCTGCAAGCTGTTGGTTCCAGCCCTCCACAGGCTGTTGCGTCCAGCCTCCTGCAAGCTGTTGGCTTCAGCCTCCAGCAACCAGGTGGCTCCAAGCTCCTGCAGTTTGGAGGCTCTAGCCCGATCATGCATGCCCCGGCCCTAAGGCCTGAAGCATTGGATTTTCTGCGACAATGCCGTAGCTTTCTTCAAGTGGTACAATGAACCCCATGTATGCCTCGACATCATTCTTCGAGAAATCTGACGTTGGTCCCACTGGGCGTGCCAATTGTTGGAACCTAAAAGAGGCTTCGAGCCTAAACGACCGATTTTGATGGATTTAAACTAAAATTTACTAAAATTTGGATAAATCTACTAGAAAGTGGATACAAACATGTTAGAAACATAAATTAGCAAGAAATTAAGATAATCTCCTAAAACCTATGGATAAACTAATAAAATGATAAAGACTTGTAGAGGATATGTGTGTTCTTGTCGTGTGTGTTGCGTGTTTTACTATATTTATAATAATATCAAATAACTACCTCTTCTACTAAAAATGTAGTTTCACTTATTCCTTCCACTACCTTCAACCTCCTAGTAACCTCCCTCCATCAATTTTCAACTGCTGGATTTTTTTCGAATCGCCTCCATTACATCTGAACTAGCTCCCACTCATTCTAAACCGCCTCCACTTCCCTTGAATTGATTCCCAATTCATTCTGAACCAATAGAGGTGGTTATCCCATGATCGTGGAAGCTGTTGTTTTCTTTCTTGTGGAGGCAACCTTCCTTTGCTTTGTGGAAGCACCGCAATCCAATAGAGGCAGTTGTTTTCAACCCATTGGAGGCAGCACATTCTGACTTTGTGAAAGAAATGTTCCGGAATAGAGGCGCCATAGCCTAAGGAGTTGCTGCCCCAAGGTTAATAGAGGTTGTTGCCCCAGGGCCCATGGAGGCTGCTGCTTTCGGCCTTGAGGAGGCAGCAATAATTTTCTTTGTGGAGGAATCACAGTCCAATGGAGGTTGTTACGTTGTTTTCGGCTTTGTGGAGCCAACAGTCTTTGGCTCCGTGACATGAAGCTCTATTGTTATTGGACGGCTCCGTGGCCTGGGAGCTCTGGCTCCGCTTTTGTCTTCGAGCCTCCTTCATATTCGGGTGCTTTTTTGGACTCATGCCCAATATAAACATACAAATAAAGCTTACATACAAATAACCTTTACTACTGACAAATGACGGCCAATGACGGTGGGTGGAGAAAGGGTTCCTTTCTTTTTTTTTGGAGGGGGGGGTTTAAATTTAGGCTTGGTCATGTACTGAGTCAAAACGGGTTTGGTGATGCTAAGATGCCAGTCTTGCAAAACGGTGAGGTGAGTTGTCCTGGTGCTGCTGGTGCCCTACCAGGACGCCAAGGTGCTATGAAAACCATGATTATAATGCTCTAAAATAAAAATAAAGTTCAAATAATATATATTGCTGATGATCACCACAAAAAACAAATTAAAATGCTACAAAATGTGCATCATATACAACCAACAACATCTTTTATAGAATAAATATCAAGACATGTGGTTCGCTCTGTTTCTCTCATGACTCACCCTCGTCGCGAGGCGAGATACCAAGAACGCAATTGAAGGAAAGAGAATATGATAAAAGACATATTTCTGGGATGAGCCAACTACATATATTTATTGTGGCATCCGATTTCACAAATACATAGAAGAGAGATCAAAATATCACATGAGAACCAAGAAAGAGAAAGAGACACAACACTATGAATAAAATATCTTTTTAGTCAAATATCAACTTTTCACACTATTGGCTATGTGAATGTATGCATTATATTCTAATTTATTGAATAATTAGATGTATATTTTATTATTTATGTATCAACTTTAGTCATTAAATTAAAATCCACATCTTTTGCTAAGGTAGAGCATTTTAATTCAGCTACAGTAATTTCTATATCAAGTAATTCCTATATCAGTAATTAATTTTATCACATATTTCTTTCAAGAAAGGAACTGACTTGTACAGAATATGCAGCGATCATAGGTCCTGCTACTATACCACTAAATGCAGTTCCATCTGCCCGAGCTATACTCAACCTTCCATCATTGCCACTTTGAAGTCCACCTCTACATGGAACAAAGGAACCAACCATTGATAAATTTGGAAGAGACCCTACACACACAGACAAACACATAAAAAATTATAAATAAGGATAGATGACTAACTCGGGAAACATGCTCCTAATAAAGAAGGTACCAATAATTATTACTTGAAGATTATATATTTGATTATACTTAAAAAAAAGTAGTGTTATACCCAAATTAAATTTAAGAGCAACCATAAAAATGGTTAACATCATGGGCAAGTACTTGAATAAAATATCAATTGAAATGGAACAATTTCTTAAAGAGCACATGGATGAAAAAAATTACAGAAGCATGCAAATAAACACAAAAATAATATATCAAATCCAAGAAAGAACAATTAAACAAATAAAAGATAACCTCCTATCAAACAAGAATGAAAAGTCAATATAGATGTAAGTAATTTAAGAAACCTCATATACTCTGGGTTCGCCATCTTGTGCAGGGAGGCTGATTGTGGCGCGTGATAAGGTCGCAGCGGTTGTTATTATGAAAACAACCCCTGGTTCAGTGGTAGTAACATCCAATATTTTTCTTAATACATCCTGAAAAATATGTCAATAAGTTCATTACATTACATGTAGAAGTGATAGGAAAGAAGTATTGTTTAACGACTATAGAAAGAAAACTATATGATGGAGCAATATAGTCAAAGCAAATAATCAATGTACTTTATTTATTTATGTAGCTACTTACTAAAATACAAGCATAGCCATTTATGGGAAGTGCAATGATCTATACAACGATGCATGACATAAATGCTTATAATGCCAGAAAATCATACAAAATTAGATAAAAGCACCTAAAACACATGCAATCTCAAACCTCTCCACCGTTGACTCTGAGAATTTTTATTTTGAAGTTCTCCGAATTGGAAGAACCTGCAAGCACAGTTTTCATACTTAGTTCACAATTTTAAAAATACAAAGAGATAATAAAAATCTCTGGAGTATTAGATCTTATGCTTTCCATTGAATAATATAATTACCAGAGGATCTGGGCCAGGCAGTAGGGTGGGAGGTTGACCCAACCACAGCGGCTGGGGTGTAGTATGCAGCCGGCGCCATTGCCTCTAGAGCCTTTTCTGAAGACGAGGTTTTATTTTTATATGCGTGCTATAGTTCAATCTGAAAAATTAAACCTTCTAACTCTGAAAAGTTACTCTTACGACAGTACGGACCGAAATATCGATTTTAACAATGAAAACCACATGAAATCAAATGAAAAAATGTAATGTAACTTAGACCCTAATAAACCCACTTACATACGATTTGAACACAGGATGACAAGAATCGAAACCCAAAGATGCGACCAAACAACTTGGTAGCCCCTATCGTCTCACAACTATCGATCTACAGCTATTTCGAAGACAAACCTTAGATTTATTTGACTAAGAGTAGACAAGAACACATTACTCACAAAATCACTCAATGAAACAAAGGAGACACATTCAGTCTGCTCGTCACGGGAAAGAAGATCACCGGTTCTGAAACTTCACAAGAACCGAGTGAACTTACTTTACAGAGAATATTAAAGAGAAAGGGAGATGATATGAATGAGAGAATAACCCTTGATAGAGAAGATATAATAAGTAATGGCTGCGCATGTACAATATATATATATTATATCAGAATCAATGGCTTGGATGGTTCCTCACCTCGAACACCTTCCCGTGGACCTATAACTTTCTCAGGTCTCACACAGAAGCACATAATATGGATAGAAAGAGAAAAAAGAACAAGGTTCACTCAAGTTAGTGAAATGTCTATTTCTCTCAAATAAACTCAAATAGTTTACAAATGAGGATGACTCTTCTATATATATATATATATATAGACCCTATAATGGGTTGGGCTAACACATGTTAAAGTATATCTGAATAAGCTCTATCTATATAAAAATATGGATAAGGATAAAGTACGTCTGTTATCCGGATAAGCTCTATGTATGTAAAATATGGATAAGGATAAGGTATGTCTATCGGATGGACATCAACTTGGTCAAGGGGCAATCCTGGCATTCCTGGAATATTTTGGAATGTTTTGGGAGGTTACTATTAGCCCATTTGTTCTCGATAGCCTTGTGATTCAGTACTTGGCATGATGTTGGTCATGAAAAATACCTCCATCAGAGGATGTGGATTAATATCACAAGTGGATCAGCCAGACAAGTTTGGCCTTAAAAAATTGGCTTGGTTCTTACAATTGGGCTTTGGTTAAATTTGTGCCTCAAATATCAACATGTCGAAATTAATAGCCCCCCCTAGCTTTTTGTCCTAAAATTTCATCGAGTTTTAGGGTCTTCATCGCTATAAACAAAATTACAGTCTTGCCTAAATAAAACAAAATTGTTAGTAAATAAATTTAAAAAATTGACTTACAATTACACAAAAAATAGGTACTATGTTAATCATATGTATTAAAATATATAGTCTTAATGCATGACTAATATTTAGTAGAAGATAATACTTTTTTTTCCAATATTATCATGACTAAATTGAGAAGGAATTTTCTCCAATTTTTATTAATTCTTTACCCACTATATCTCTAATGAAGTGAAAATGTACACTAATATGTTAGGTTTAGTCATGAAATACAAGATTAAATATATTAATTCTTACACAATTGAATACCAGATCTACTATTCAAAAAACAGTAACAAAATTATGCAAATAACTGAATTCTGGATTAAGCACTTGATCAAAAGTTTTTGCGAGATTTTTTAAATGTATTTAAGATAAAATAAAAAATATTTTATGTATAAAAATATAAACAAATATAATGTGTGTTCATGTAGTAACTCTGAAAACATCGTCAAAATTAAAATCTCTTTGACCGGTGCACGTACACGTCGAACTCAGGAAATATAAGAATTTGGTATGTTTAATTAGGAAAAAGTACATTGAGTTAATGCAATTGAATAGCTGAAAAATAAGCTGGCTTCTAATACATATTTTAATCGAACTTAAAAAGCAATAAAATATGTCTAACGGGTATATAAATTGGATGAAACAATGGATAGAAGTGATTGTGAAGTGTAAGCGAGTATTAAGTGATGAAGAGGACGGAGCAAGGTGTTTATGTATGAGATCTGTTGCGATGAGTGATTTTTATATTATCCTATAGCTAGAGAAAATGTACGAGGTGGCGTTACTGTGTTAGTGGATATGTATTTATAATTGCGAGGTGGTTTGTGTAAGATATGACCTCGCGTCATTTATTAATTATGGATGGTTTAAATGAAATAAAATAAATAAATGATAATATTAAGTCGAATTGGTCTAGTCAAATTAATAGTGGTTTAATACCACTTTATCATTATCCTACGTTGATAGAATGTGGGATAATGATTTTAACGCAAATGATTCTGGTCCTGGTCCTCCTTCTGCCTATAAAAGGCCAGAACAAATCTATTTCTATCACACACAAATTTAAAACTTACGCGTTCTGGCATTGAGGCTAAGAGGGAGAAACAAGAGGATCCAACTTATCCTCTAAAGAAGAGAATCCAACTCATCGTCTAAATTAAAGCATCCAATTCATCATCTCAACCAGAGGATCCAACTTGTTGTTCTGCGAGAATGGTTTCCAACCAAGGTCAGTATATATACGCATTTATATGATTTTGTGAGAATCATAAAGTTCAAGATCTGCGAATTCAAATCGATTATATTTTGTTTTAAACTTACATGTGGTATCAGAGCATGATTTTGAACTTGTGAATTCTCCGATCAATGGTTAGAATTATGTAAGGATAGATTTTTTCCGCTGCGATCTAAATATTTGATTTGCGAAAGTTTTATTTATAAAATTCTTATTATAACATAATTTAAATAATGATATGTATTTTTGAAAACTTCGTGTTTTTTAAAAATTAATTTGATATTATCATCATCATCATCATCATTATTATTATTATTATTATTATTATTATTATTATTATTATTATTATTATTATTATTATTATGTGCATATGTGTATATGTTCTGCGTATATTATTGTTAATTTAAATCACCCCATATATGTTTTGCCTATATATGTATGCTTTTAATTAAATCATTATCCTTAATGATATTATTTAATAATAATATATTATGATATTAGTTTATCGACAATTAGTTGAATAATCATCCCACGATTTATGGAATTGTTGATTTATTTGTATAACCGTTATGCATTAAATAAAATAAATATTAATAATATATCCATTAATAGAATTTGCGTTGATTAATATTATTTAACTTTTTTTTTGCTACTGTATATTATTTAAATAATGCATAATTATTGTTGTAGATTATTTTGATTATATTCAAATATATTATATAATTTAATATTTAAATTAGGAATAATCTGTTAATCACCAAAGTGATCAGATTAGAAAGATATTAAATAAATCTAGATATATTTGAATGTATTATATAATTTAATATTTAAATTATGATTAATCTGTTAATTACTAAAGTGATCAGATTAGAAAGATATTTGTGTAGATATTAAATTAAATGCTAAATTTTAATTACTCATTATAATGTGACTTATGACATTATGTTTTAACAATGGGTAAATTAAAGTTCATTAATTATAAAATATTTAAGGATCAACCCAAAGGTAAATCAATTATTTTATAATTGACAATTTTTAAGTACTTTTATTAAATATGCAAGATTATCCAAAGATGACATGCATGTTCAATTAAAGTGCGATTTTATTGTGCGAATTATGTTAGCGTCAATTATATTTCATTAGTACGTTGTTGTTCACCCAAAGGAGAATTACAATGTACATTTATTATTTTTGCCTTGAATCTGATTTGAAAATCTCAATTATATTAATTTACAGTAACTGTGCCTGCTTCGCTTCATTCGCATGCATCATTTGTTCCTATGTTTAATGAGCTCAACTATTCCGAATGGTCTCAGCACATTCAATTTCAACTTGGTGTTTTAGGTCTTGACCTACCACTCCATGTTGAAAAGCCTCCTACTATTACTGATACTAGCAGCGAAAGTGAAAAGTCTTTCTATAATGCTTGGGAGAGACCGAATCGATTAAGTCTGATGCTTATGCGGATGAGTATAGCGAACCACATTAAGTCTACTCTTCCTGAAATCAATGATGCTAAGGAATTTATAAAAGCAGATGGGGAACGTTCTCAAACTGCAGATAAGTCTCTCGCTGGGACACTAATGGCTACGCTAACCACCATAAAGTTTGATGGTTCGCGATCCATTCATGAGCATGTTGTCGAAATGAAGAACCTGGTAGCAAGATTGAAAGCCTTAGGGATGACTGTGGATGATAACTTTCTGGTGCAGTTTATCTTGAATTCACTGCCCCCTGAGTATGGTCCGTTCCAAATGAACTATAATACCATGAAAGATAAATGTTAATGTGAATGACCTTCACAGTATGCTAGTTCAAGAGGAAACACGGCTTAAAAATCAGGGCTCTCATTCAATTCATCTTATTACCAACCAAGGAGCTGGTAGGAGAGTCGGGAATAAGAAAGTGAAGGGCAAGTGCGGACCATTGAAAGTGAATGTGCCGTCTATCCAAGCCCCGAAGAAGGAACTCAATGATGTCAAGTGTCGCTTTTGTGGAAAATCCGGATACTTTCAGAGAGATTGCCTGAAACGAAAGGCTTGGTTCAAAAAGAAAGGTACTAATACTTTTGTATGTTTCGAATCAAATTTGATTGAAGTTCCTCATAATACTTGGTGGCTTGATTCTGGCTGTACCACTCATGTTTCGAAATCCTTGCAGGGATTCCTTACGATCCAAACCACAAAGGCAAATGAAAGATATTTATTTTTATGGGAAATCAAGTCAAAGCTCTTGTTGAAGCCGTAGGAACCTACCGTTTAATTTTAAATTCTGGACACCATTTAGATTTATTTGAGTCTCTTTATGTACCTTCTGTTTCTCGCAATTTGGTTTCTATTTCTAAACTCGATTTTGTTGGATATTCATTTAATTTTGGCAATGGTTGTTTCACTTTGTTCAAAAATAATTATCCAATTGCTTCTGGTGTTCTTGAAAGTGATCTTTACAAATTCAATCTTGACAACCTCTTTGCTGAAATTCTTTTAACCCTGCATTATGATGTTGGAACTAAACGTGGTTTAGTAAATGAAAACTTTTCTTACTTGTGGCATAAACATTTGGGGCATGTTTCCAAAGAAAGAATTACAAGATTAGTGAAGAATGAAATCCTTCCGGATTTAGATTTCACTGATCTTGGTGTTTGTGTGGATTGTATAAAAGGAAAACAAACAAAACACACAAAGAAAGGAGCCACAAGAAGCACACAGCTTCTTAAAATAATACGCACTGATATTTGCGGACCATTTGATGTTTCCTCTTTTGGAAACGAAAAATATCTCATTACCTTCATTGATGACTTTTCACGTTATAGTTACATCTATCTATTACATGAGAAATCTCAGTCAATAGACGCTCTAGAAGTGTTTATTAATGAGGTTGAAAGACAACTAGATAGAAAAGTGAAAATCATCAGATCTGATAGAAGTGGTGAATATTATAGAAAATATAATGAATCGGGTCAATGCCCGGGTCTGTTTGCCAAATTTCTTGAAAAGCGTGGCATATGTGCTCAATACACTATGCCAGGTACACCACAACAAAATGGTGTAGCTGAAAGGCGTAATCGAACACTCTTGGATATGGTTTGGAGTATGCTCAGTAATTCTTCACTGCCCATATCGCTGTGGATGCAAGCGCTTAAAACTGCCATGTACTCATTGAATAGGATTCCTACTAAAGCAGTTCCTAAAACTCCCTTTGAGTTATGGATTGGCAAGAAATCTAGTTTAAGGAACCTACATGTTTGGGGTTGCCCGGCAGAGATAAGAGCTTATAATCCATATGAAAGAAAGTTAGACTCAAGGACAATCAGTGGTTTCTTCATTGGTTATCCCGACAAGTCTAAAAGGTATAAGTTTTATTGTCCTAATCATAGTACAAGAATTATTGAAGCTGGAAATGCAAAGTTCATTGAAAATGGTGAAGTTAGTGGGAGTCAAGAATCTCGAAAGGTTGACATTCAGGAAGTTAGGGTGCACATTACTGTACCACTGACTTCTAATAATGTTGTTGTTCCTTCTATTATTGAACCTCCTAACACTGGACACGAACAACAAATTAATGAACAATTGACCCACAATGAAGATAATGAACTTGCAGTAGATGAACCACGTGAAATAGTATTGCGAAGGTCTGAAAGACAAAGACGTCCTGCTATTTCCAATGATTATGTGGTATACCTACAAGAGTTGGAATGTGATTTAGGACTCAATGACGATCCAACTTCATTTTCATAACCCATGGAAAGTAATAATTCTAATAAGTGGTTAGATGCCATGAATGATGAGTTGAATTCTATGAAGCATAATGATGTTTGGGATCTTGTCGAGTTGCCTGAAGGTTGTAAATGAGTCGGGTGTAGATGGGTCTTCAAGACAAAACGCGACTCAAATGGTAACATCGAAAGATACAAGGCCAGACTACTTGCCAAGGGTTTTACGCAAAAAAATGGTGTTGATTATAAGGAGACATTTTCGCAATTCTCTAAGAAAGATTCGTTTAGAATTATTATGGCTTTGGTGGCTCATTACGATTTAAAGTTACACCAAATGGATGTGAAAATAGCCTTTTTAAATGAAATTTGCATGAGGAAGTTTATATGGAGCAACCTGAAGGCTTCTCCATTACAGGAAAGGAAAATATGGTGTGTAAACTTAGGAAATCAATATACGGGCTTAAACAAGCTTCCCGACAATGGTATATCAAGTTTCATGATACTGTGACTTCTTTTGGATTCAATGAAAACACCATCGATAGATGTGTGTATCTGAAAGTCAGTGGGAGCAAGTTTATTTTCCGATCCTGTATGTTGATGATATCTTGCTTGCAACGAATGATCTTGGTTTATTATATGATACTAAGAAGTTTCTCTCTAAAAACTTTGAAATGAAGGATATGGGTGAGGAATCCTATGTGATCGGAATAGAAATATTACGTGATAGATCACCAGGAATGTTAGGATTGTCTCAAAAGGCTTATATCAATAAAGTTTTGGAGAGATTTAGAATGGAAAAATATTCTTCTAGCATCGTTCCAATTCAGAAAGACGACAAATTCAGTCTCATGCAATGTCCACGAAATGAATTGGAACGTAAGCAAATGAATGGAATTCCTTATGCATCAATTGTGGGAAGTCTGATGTATGCGCAGACTTGTACGAGGCCAGACATCAGCTTTGCTATTAGAATGCTCGGTCGATACCAAAGCAATCCAGGATTAGATCACTGGAAGGCCGCAAAGAAAGTGTTGAGATACCTGCAAGGGACAAGAGAGCACGTGCTTACATACAGGAGGTCTGATTGTCTAGAGGTGGTTGGTTATTCAGATTCGGATTATTCCGGATGTGTTGATACCAGAAAATCCACTTTTGGATATTTGTTCCTACTAGCCGGAGGAGCAATATTATGGAAAAGTGCGAAGCAGTCTGTCATAGCTGCGTCCACTATGGAAGCTGAATTTGTGGCATGCTTCGAGGCCACAGTTCAAGGAAATTGACTACGGAACTTTATTTCGGGGTTTGGAGTAGTCGACAGTATTGCCAAGCCACTGAAAATTTATTGCGATAATTCCGCAGCAGTCTTCTTTTCAAAGAACGACAAGTATTCCAAAGGTGCAAAACATATGGATCTAAAGTACCTTGCCGTTAAAGAAGAGGCTCAGAAACAAAAGATGTCAATTGAATATATTAGCACCAATCTTATGGTTGCGGATCCGTTAACTAACGGATTGCCTCCAAAGACATTTATTACACATGTTGAAAGAATGGGCATTGTGAATGTAATTTGATGAATATTATGTTTATGTATTTGACATCTCGAGCTCCCTTATGCATTGTTTCTGAAATTGAATATTTTCTTGTTCATTCATTTGTGCACATAATTGTTTGAACAAGATGTAGTCTACCTTAGACATTAAAGTGGACCATTATCGATATTTCCAATTATGAATGAATTAAGTAGAAAATTAGTGTTGTACATGGAAGGAACTATGTCGATTCAATGACGTAGAACCGCTATGACTCATATTAGTATATACTTAATAAATGATGTTGGACTTGTACCAATAAAGTTTCTTATTTTATTTAAACCATGAAGACATGTTCTATCACTCGGCCAAGTGGGAGAATGTAAGATATGACCTCGCGTCATTTATTAATTATGGATGGTTTAAATGAAATAAAATAAATAAATGATAATATTAAGTAGAATTGGTCTAGTCAAATTAATAGTGGTTTAATAACACTTTATCATTATCCCACGTTGATAGAACGCAGGATAATGATTTTAACGCAAAGGATTCAGGTCCTCCCTTTGCATATAAAAAGCCAGAACAGATCTATTCTATCACACACAGAATTTAAAACTTACACGTTCTGGCATTGAGGCTAAGAGGGAGAAACAAGAGGATCCAACTCATCCTCTAAAGAAGATGATCCAACTCATCGTCTAAATTAGAGCATCCACTTCATCGTCTCAACTAGAGGATCCAACCTGTCGTTTTGCGAGAATGGTTTCCAACCAAGGTCAGTATATATACGCATTTATATGATTTTGTGAGAATCATAAAGTTCAAATCTGCGAATTCAAATCAATTATATTTTGTTTTAAACTTACAGTTCAAGGAAATGAATGTGATCACACATGTTCATCTAAGTCTGACTCATGACTTGATTGATCTTTGACCTTAGGAATTACAATGAAGCTTCAGATCCATAACCAATAATATTATTTCAAAGCGAAGCCGTTGTCATCGGACCAATAAGCAAGCACATATGTCTTAGTCATCATTATCAAATTGTTTAAATAGTGGTCCTATCCCTTTGATCTTTCTCTTTAATCGAGGTTAAATTCAACTCATAACTAAGAAGGTAAAAAATGCTCTGTCGTACATAATGGCTATGAACCACCTATACCCTGTTAACAATGCAATGTGGGCATAGACATGGATAGTTAACTCTTCTATGTCCGTCTATGATCTTATCAAGAACTTAACATAAACAACTGAAGTATGAACATGGAGATTTATCCCTAACCACGTAAATTGTGTCTTTTTAATTTTCTACATTATTCTTGTATTAAAATTTATTGTATTTTTCCGAAAATTTCAAAACAATTAGCTTAAAATTATGAGAAATTGTAATTTTTTTATGCTAGTTTCGGCTCATTATTAAGGTATATATTTTTACGGCATTAACTCATCCATAATCCTTCTTTCTACTACTGGAATTGAAAAATAGCACGTGAGGAGCATGTGTGATGACGCGGCAACACTAAAGTTGTGGTGGACTTTCCAAAGCAAATGTGGGTGTCCAGGTGCACATGTTCTAGCGTTAGCTAGGAAATTAAAATAAGTAATTAAATTAAAATTTATTATTATTATTATTATTATTAAAAATCAATCTTGAAATTTTCAAATATGAAAAATAGATAATTTTATTTATTTTACTATTCAATTATTCTTCTGTGATCCAAGCGCCATAACCTAAAGTAAAATCTTACTTAGATGACATCCTAACTTCCCATTTCCACTGCCGAAATTCTTTTTCCGAATATTACTATTTTATAGATAGATTAATATAGTTACTATCTTAATTCCATAGAAATAAAATATCATAATTTATCCATGTCATCGGTGATGTCAATTTCATATTGACACTTGGGCTTTTAAGTAAAGTTTGTTGGTTATGTTACAAAAG